GCCCCTGCACACACACAAAAAAAAAAAAAAGAGGAAAAAAACTGAAAACTGGTGGCCTGGCTTTGTATGGTGACTATGGAAAGCCCTGTGTGGCACGCTGGCTACCGCCCCTGCCCCTGCACACACAGTGGTGTCACACAGGCCTGGCTTTAGCCGCCCAGGCCCCACCTTTCTGTTTTCAGCTAATGAACGAAAACACTGACATCGCTGATATGGAGAACGCGGGACACCCCAGCTCTGAAACGCCAACCGCGACCAACTATTTCCTCCAGTACATCAGCTCCAGGTGTGTGTCAGGGCCCGGGGCTACCCTCAGCCCTCACTCGGGCCTGGAGCCAGGTCCTTCCTACCCACCCTGGCTACCTTCATCCGGGGCTCTGATGGACCCGAGGCAGGAACGGAGTTTGAGGGGCTGTGCGGCCCAGCCTTGTGGGGATGTCTGTCCTGGACCTCGTGCCCAGAGCGGAGCTGACAGCAGTGTCAGCTCCTACGCCTCCCAGACCTGGAGGGACCCACCAGTGCCTGGGGCCCAGAGGGAAGGTATCCCTGCCTAGGAGACAGTGCTCCTCGCAGGGGCAGAGGTGGAGCACGTGGGCCTCCTGTGTGCCAGGAGGGGCCGAGGGTTCGCTTCTGCTTGGACAGCGTGTGAGGCCAGGTCAGGCGGAGGGAATCCAGGCTGCTCTCTGCCAATTCCTGCCTCCTGCCCACTCTGCCGTTGATGCACCTGCCCGCGGGCCTCTTGCTCATTGCGTCTCCTCTTCAGTGCAGAGAACTCAGCCAACAGTGCCGACACCTCCAGCACCAAGTTTGTGTTTGGCCAGAACATGAGCGAGCGCGTGCTGGTGAGTAGCCCTGTCGGCGCTGTGCTGGGTCGGGCTGTGTGACGTGTGGCTGCCACAGTCTCCTGAAAAGTCAGAGAAAAAAGCCCTGCTCAGATTCTGCTTAAAGATGGGCTGGGCCCTTGGCTTTGGTCGCCTGGGAGGCTACCCAGGTACCACCCCCTGCCGCCTTCACTGAAGCTTCCCCTTGTGGCCATGGCTCCAGGCTGTGGTCTGTGCCTCCCCTCAGGCCACTGTGGTGAATGATGGTGATCAGACCAGCGGGCTGCAGCCCAACAGGGACAGGGCCCCCCTGTTCCTGCTGGCCGGTGTGGCACTGCCTCTTGTGTGGGATGGCAGCATCGGTGTCAGCAGAGGGTACAGCTGCCCACTCGGACCACACTGGCCAGGGCACTGGGCGTACCGAGAGCTGGCCTACCAGGAGGGCTCTGGGAGACCTCGGCCTTCTCTGCTAGATGGAGCGCACGTGCCGCTGCCCGGCCCTGTCTGTTCCCCTCCACCTGTGCCTTGGCCTGCAGCCATCTGGGTGCCTCCGACGCCCCCTCCCCAGGTGTTGGGCGACAGCGCAGCACGGGCAGTGCTCGGGCTCTCGTGTGACCTGCAGGTGGGCTCTGCTGGGATTCGTCCAGCACAGCGCTGAGCAGCAGCACCAGCTCGGGGCTTCCCACCTGCACCACACAAATGCTCCTCCTCTCGTGTGCCTTTGTCTCCCCCCAGAGCCCCCCCAAATTGAATGAGGTCAGCTCAGATACCAACCGGGAAAACGCAGCTACTGAGTCCGGGTCTGAGTCCTCTTCCCAGGAGGCCACCCCCGAGAAAGGTACATCACGGTCAGTGTACCTTGTGGGAGTCGCCGCGGTCAGCTGGGGTGACCAGTGATGAGGGGACCCTGCGTCCATCTGCACCCTGCCCTGGAGCGGTGGTGCTGATGCCCGGCAGCGGCAGCCACGTGGGGACTTAGGGACAGCCTGGGGGCAGTGGTGCTGTGAGCAGGGCTGAGACCTCCACAGAGGCAGATGCGCAGCTGGGGCCGGCTGGCTGTGCGCTCCTCCGTGCTCCCCAGGAGTCCACACGTCGCCTCGCCACGCACCTCATGGGCTGTACATCGCTGGCTTGTCTCTGGGGTCCCCTCCGGATCCCATCGGCCTACCAGGGACAGCAGGTCCCCAGGAGGTGTGCCCTTGCCCCTCCCCAAATCAGTAGTCTGTCCCATTTAGCCAGTACCATTTCAGAGTCCCTGGCCGAGTCGGCGGCCGCCTACACCAAGGCCACGGCGCGGAAGTGTCTGCTGGAGAAGGTGGAGGTCATCACCGGCGAGGAGGCAGAGAGCAATGTGCTGCAGGTGAGGGCTCTGCGCTGGGCCAGCAGCGGGGCCGTGCCCGGTGCCGCCTTCTGGGGACTCAGACAGACCTGTAAGGGACCCCTGCTCCTTTCACCCAGAATGTGCACCTGCATGACTTTGGCACTAGTGTCCCGCATGGCCACGGCGAGGGAGACTCGGGAGGGGCTGCACACTCGCCCTCCTCCCTCCCCCGCGGGGATGCCTGAGTCTGGCCTAAGCCACCCAGGCTGTGGGGTCTGTGAGCACTGCTTTTCCCAATCCATGCTGGCTTTTTTGTTTTGATTTTCGGGAGGGGGGTTGTTTTGAGACAGGGTCTTGCCATGTAGTTCAGGCTGCCTCTGAATTCACTGTGTAGCCCGGGCTGGTCTTGAACTCACAGCGATCCTCTTGCCTCAGCCTCCTGAGTGCTGGGATGACAGGCGTGCACCACTACCTCCGGCATTTTTTTGCTGTAAGGTCTCACTACATAGCCCAGACTGGCCTTGAATTTGCAGTCCTCCTGCTTCAGCCTCCCAAAGTGCCAGGATTACAGGTGTGCACCATCGCCCTTGGCTTCCGCACTGGCTCTCACTTTGTTCATGTTGGGAGGCAGTGACACGGGAGAAATTGCATTTTTTTCTCCCGGGGTCGCACAGTCTCTGTAAGGCGTTTAACATCTTGGTTGAAGGGTGCCACACATGCTATATAGTTCACCCTCTAAAGTGAGCACTTCTGGGGGTTTAGTATGTTTTCAGAATTGCACAACCTTCACCACACTCTAATGCAGAGCATTTGTTCCCTCAAAGCCCCGTCCCCTTGAGCGACAGCCTCCATCCCCTCTCCAGCCCTCACACCCCTGAGTCCGCTCCGTCTCTGGACTCGCCTGTCCCGGGCGTTTCCTGTCCGTGGAGCCCAGGCTGTATCCCCTGTGTCTGGCGTCTCACTGAGCGCGGCGTCCTCAGGGTCCCTGCCGCTGTGGCCTTGTTCCTGTCCTGGCTGCGTGGTGTCCCAGTGTGGGAACTCGTGGCGTGTCCCTCCATCAGCCGACGTGTGACCTGCTGCGGCTCTGCACGTGTTCGGGCAGTCACGATGCCTGTGCTGTGTGGAAGCCCCGTGCTCCACACCCCAGCGGCACAGGGCCTCCCCGACTCCCCTTTCCTGCCTCTTCAGCCGTAGCCCTGCCTGCGGGCGCAAGGTGGCGAGTCTGTGTAGTGCCAGCCCGGTAGCTCAGGTGGCTAGGTGGAGACGCGGGGTGCTGTCCCCAGCAGTGGCTCACCCGCGGCCACCCCATATGTTGTAGATCCAGTGTAAGCTGTTCGTCTTTGACAAGACCTCACAGTCATGGGTGGAGCGAGGCCGGGGGCTGCTCAGACTCAACGACATGGCGTCAACCGACGATGGGACGTTACAGTCGCGACTAGGTGAGCTGCGCGGAGGTGGGAATGGCGGGGGCCTGTGGCAGGGCGGGGTTGTGCTGAGAGCAGATTGGAAATACGATGTGAGCAGGAGCTCTGGCCTGCCTCGGGCACAGGCTGCACCCACAGCGTCGGCCCTCAGCGTGCAGCCCCACACGTAGAGTTTCAGTGGAGGCACAGGCTTGGTGATAGAAAGGGAGGAGTCTCTGAGAAGAGGGAAGTGGTGCGCACTCACAACATGGCACTTTCTGTACGTGATACACGTACAGACAGACTGCTATGCTGACTGTCCCCAGGCGCAGGCCAAGCCCTGGTCCCTGCCCTCTGGCTTCCTTAGGACCAGGGGAGAGTAGGGTCGCTGCTTACAGCTCCTGCCAAGACAGACATGCAAGACTGCCTGCAGGCCGGTACTGTGGAGGGACACGGGATGGCCTTCCCCACGGATGCGGCCCAAAGCTGTCTCCCTTCTGGCCTGGCTGTCCCCTCTGGAACAGGCCTGGACAGGGTTAGAAGTTGTCACCTCACCAGGGGCTCAACGGCCCACCTCAGAGGCTGGGGGGTGAGGGGACAGTGAGGGCAGGGAGGGCACCACTGCAGCGGAACGGACACACGGGTGACGACTGGGTCACCTCAGTCACCACGCAAGACACAGCCTCCACTCGGGGGTATTTGGACATCTCCAAGGGAAGAAAGGGGAAAACCCACAAGGTCCACGAGCTAAGGAGCACAGCAGCCAGACCGGACCCTGCCTGCTTCCTCACCCCTGCTCAGCCCCCAGGATCGGTTCTCAGGCAGTGTGTGGAAAAGCAAGGCCTCTAAGGGAAATGTGGGGCTTCTGTTGGGCCAGAAACCCTCCCCTGGGGACTCACTGTCCTGGCACCCACCGTGTGTGTGGGCAGCTGGGCAGGGCTTCGCGGGCTCAGGTCAGGCTGTGCCTGGGCAGCTGCTGCCCGATGCTGTACAGGTGGGGTGGGTGGGGCAGGCCCAGCTGAGCAGCCTTGCTGGTTGCAGTGATGCGGACCCAGGGAAGCCTACGGCTGATCCTCAACACCAAGCTGTGGGCCCAGATGCAGATCGACAAGGCCAGCGAGAAGAGCATCCGCATCACAGCCATGGACACCGAGGACCAGGGTGTGAAGGTCTTTCTGATTTCGGTGAGCCCCCAGACCAGAAGGGAGTCCGTGCTCTGTATGGCGCTAGCCAGACAGGGCTCCTCGGCACATGGGGCTCACGCTCGGGGTGTGGAGGTGGGGTGGGCTCTCACGGGGGGCAGGAGAGCACGGTCTTTCTTTCCGTTGAGCCCCCAGACCAGAAGGGAGTCCGTGCTCTGTATGGCGCTAGCCAGACAGGGCTCCTCGGCACATGGGGCTCACGCTCGGGGTGTGGAGGTGGGGTGGGCTCTCACGGGGGGCAGGAGAGCGGGTGGGTAGGCCTGTCACCAAGGCACCGGGTGGGGCATGGAATGGAGGTGTCCCCACTGCCAGGTCCCCACGAGGCCTCTGGTGGGCTGGGGAGGTTCGCAGGATGGGGGCGCTGGGAAAAGGGTGGAGCCCCGGCCTGCAGGTGAGTTTGGTCGCTCGTCAAGTAGGATGGGACAGGAAGGCCTCTCACCACTCACCCAAGGTCCCCACCCTGGGAACAGTCCTCTGGCTGTCCCTGTGCCTCTTCCTCCTCCCTGCTGCTTTCTCCTCTCCCCATCCCAGAGAAGCAGTGGGTGCTGGCTGTGGTTGGTGGTACAAACAGCCCTGCATGTGGTCACCTGTGTCCCAAGTCATGTGGAAGGTGATGGTCATGTCGTCCAACACAGACCTCTGTCCCACCTCAGGCCGGCCCTGCCTGGCCCAGTCCCCCGGGACCCTCCCAGCTTTCTGGGTGCCCTTCCAGGGAGGTCAGCAGGTCATGCTTTCATGACCTGGTGGCAGGCAGAGTGTCTGAGCTCCTGCACCGGCTCCTCATGGCCCTGTCCCCTAGGCCAGCTCCAAGGACACGGGCCAGCTGTATGCGGCCCTGCACCACCGAATCCTGGCCCTGCGCAGCCGTGTGGAGCAGGAGCAAGAGGCCCAGGCCCCCGCCCCTGAACCCGGAGCCCCGTCCAATGAGGATGACAGTGATGACGACCTGCTGGCCCCCTCGGGAGCCCCTGGAGCTGGTGAGTGGCTGGCGCTACCCCGAGGGCCCCAGGTGGCCTCCTGTCTGGCTGGTGCGTGGGGTGACACCAGTCTCTCCCCACAGGTGCCAGTGAGGAGGGGGACGGGCAGGTGCCCGGGAGCACATAGCGGAGGTGTCGCTGCACAGAGGCTGCTGCTTTGGTGTCTGTGGCCGTCCACCCTCCCCACGGGCAGCATCAGCTGGGGCGGAACCACAGCCTGGATCCCCACGCCCGTTCCGAAGCAGACTCGGGAACTGCCTGGAAGTGGTTTGGGACCGAGACCTCATCATATTGATGAGCAAAAGAGCGCTCCTCCCCACCCCGAAATGAAATGGCTCATTAGACTTGTCACGGCTTCTCACTGGACCGGAGACCTCGTTTCTTCTGTGTCGAGCCTCCAGGCCTCCCCGCCGTGTGCCCGCCCTCTCTCCCTCCTTCCCGTGGGTCCCCGCCGTACCCCGGGACCTCGAGCGTCAACACTGGGCCCTGGACGCAGTTTACTACTCTCTGGTTCCCGTTTCTCATCTTCTGATGCGGGGGTTTATATTTTACAGATCTTATTTTTTTTTATGTCCAAAGGCTTTGGTTTTGGTTTCTTGGATTATGACGCTTTGGTGTGCTGGGCAGGCATACACCTAGGCCTCCCCTCTGCCCACCCGGTTCCTCCAGGCCGAGTCATGGGCACCGAGGGCTTGGGCTCCATCGGGTGTGCCCCTGGAGAGCGCTCCCAGAAGAAGGTCTTGGGACTTGGAACGTCCCGGGGCCCCTGCCATCTCGCATCCTGTCCCGGTCATGTGACCCGCCTGCGTCCCGCGTGTGTTGGCCACTGCTGGCCCAGCCCTGATGTCATCACCCCCAAACCGTTGTGGGCCTGGGGCTGCTGTGAGAGGCAGAGAGGTCTGCCCAGAGTGACAAGGCCCAGCCCCAGGCAGCAGTGTGACGGGCCTCCTTGGCACGCCGTGCACAGGAGTGGGTGCTGGCTCTGGGCCAGGGCCCAGCAGGAAGGCCGCAGAGGAGTCCCTCATGCGCAGGCCTCCTTGGGACGACAGAAGGAGTGGCCCAGTCCCGCCCTCGGGGCCAAAGAAGAGGCCTCGTCCTCCAGCTGTGCGCTCCACTCCCAGGGCCAGGATGACTCCAGTGGCGACACTGGCACTGCCCAGCCACCAGCGCACCTAGGCCCGGGAGGACACCAGAGGCCACCCAGAAGATCCGGCCACACTTCTGTGCTTTAAGCCTTAGCCAACTAGTGACAAGTAAAACCAGACAATGCCCATGTGTTTCGGAACATTTATGTAAGATTGTCATATGAAATGTATTTGGGAACTACATTAAAACTTTTAACTAAAATCCTGGCCTCCTGCATGCCCCAGGGGCCTCAGGAAGCCAAGGGCCTGGCCAGGACCATCTCCACCTCCCAAGGTGCAGGCCCCCAGCAGCCGGGGCTACCCCTGGTGAGCCCCCCAGGCCAGCCCGCATGGCTCTGCCCAGACCTGACCTCCACCTGGCTCCTGGGGGCCTTCGGGGGCTGGGAGGGGAGGGCCGGGGGATACCACTATCCCTGGGGCCCTGAGCCGGAGACCTGGTCTGGCTGGTTCTTCGGCCCTGCTGCCCAGCCCCTCCTTCCTGCTGTGTGCCCTCTGGGCTCTGCCCTGGGTCACCTAGCCAGGTTAGGAGGGACCTGGGGGGCTCCTGGAACGCTCCTCAGAGCTTCCAGGCGCTGGTCACCATGGCCACGAACTCCTCATCTGTGTCCACAGAGGCGCTGAGCCCGCTGTAGTAGTCCTGGAACTCCGCTAGGGTGACCTGCGGGGCACGGGGGCTGTGAGGGGAGCCAGGCTCGGCCGCCGCCTTTGGAGGGCCCCCCGTGCGTGCGACACTCACCTGCCCGTCCTTGTCACTGGCGTCAAAGTTGTCAAGGAAGCGCCGCAGCACCTCCTCCTCTGTCCACTCCCCACTGCACACCTTGGGGTGGCTGCGGCCGCTGTACACCCCACGGAGGTCGTCCACAGTCACCACACCGTCCCCGCTGCGGTCCAGCTTGGCAAAGGCAGCCGCGATGATGGCTTCCCGGGCCTGGGACATGGGGGGCTGGGGCCAGAGCAGAGGTGTTGGCTCAGCAGGCGCCTCCCACCTCGGGCAGGCTCCCCCCACCGGCCCGCGTCCCAGAGCCCCCCCAGGGCAGCCTCACCCTCAGTGCCCGCAGGAACTCCTGCAGGTCCAGCGTCCCACTGCCATCGCGGTCCCAGCGCCTGCACACGGCCTCCGCCTCTGCCAGCTCCAGCGACAGCCCCAGCTCGGCCAGGCCCCGCTGCAGCTCCACTGCGTCCAGGGACCGGCTGCCATCCCGGTCCAGGCGGCGGAAGAACCTGCAGGAGAGGGCACATTGGATGGCGTCTGTGGGTGCTGGAGTCTGGGAGACGTGAGGAGGGCCCCTCACCTGGCCAGGCTCTGGATGCCTGAGGCCCCCCGGGCCAGACACTGCACCCGTAGCTTCTCCATGGTGGCATCCACGGCGTCCATGCTGGGCCGGCTCTCTGGGCAGCTGGAGGGTGAGAGTCACAGGGTGACCTTGGCCAGCCAGGCACAGAGCCAGGTGCCGCCCCTGCCCACTCACCTGGCCTGTGTCTGTCCCTGGTCTGCAGACTGCCCCTCCTTAGCTTTGTGTCCTGTTGCTAAGGGAGGTTGCTAAGGGAGGCGGCCTTGGAGACTGGGAGGGGCCCAGTTTAACTCTCGCTGTGCCAGGCTGAGAGGGACCTGCTTGCTCCCTTCCACCCACAGGCCTTGGGCAGAGCTGGGTCTACCCTGCCTTGTGGCCTGGCAGGGAGCAGCCTCCTGGAGGTAGTGAGGCCTGCGCGACTGCCATGGGACCCAGGGCAGGTGCCTTCCCCTCTCTGTGCTTCATGGGTTGGTGGCTCAGAAGAGCTCCAGGCACCGCGGGTCCTTGTACCCCCCCAGACCCCCGGCCCAGACCCATGTGCAGTGGGGAGAGAGGTTGTCAGCCCATGAATGAGTACCAGTCCAGAACCCAGCCAGATTCGAGAGACCTCAGGACAGTCACTGTGACAAAGCTGTTTCCGGTAGATTTAGGAGCCAGCCACAGTGTTTTTGTCAGTGCAGATTTTTTGTTGATTGCTTTTCAGCCCCCAGACACGGCTTGCCCGGGCTCTGAGTGGAGAAAACAGCCCTGAACCCTGACATAGCCGAGAGAAAGCAAGGCCACCGTCATGAAGGCCTTTGGTGGAGAGGTGACGTGAGGCATCTCCCAGGACTTCAGACCAGGCCTGGCTCGCTTGGTGACATGCACGAGGGCCTGTCTGGGAGAAGCTGGGGACACCAAAGGCCTCTGGAAATGTGCATGCTCCCGTCCTCACGTCGTCAGGAGATACCTTTGGGCCGAGATCAGCCCCGAGATTACAAGCGAGCCGGCGCCGGGAGTCCGCGGGTTCTGAGAAACCCCAGTGACATTTCAGTGCACACATTCCGATGGCTTGTAGCAACCCAACATTCTCGGAGTCCGCAGAGAAATGCTTCATTGTTTGGTTTTGGGTTTTGCTTTGTTTTGTTTGCGGTGCCAGGAGGGAACCCAGGGCCTCCCGCTGGCCAGGCGAGTGCTCACCACCGAGCGGCACCCCCAGCCCTGCTGCGGTTTTGTAACCAGTGTCAAATGCGTCCATTTTTCTTTTTCTGTGGAAAAATGTAAACTATGACTGGGGTTTGGCTCAGTGGTAGAGCACTTCCCTAGCATGTGTGAAGCTCTGATTTGAGTCCCCAGCACCACCAAGACAAAAAGACTGAATAATATAAAATACAGTCACAATGTTTTGTTTTGTTTCATTTGCAGTACTGGGGATGAAACCTAGGGGCTACACCGAGCTACATCCCCGGCCCTTTTGTGTATTTTTTTGACACAAGGCCTCACTAAGTTGTCCCAGCTGGACTAGTACCAATGATCCCCCTGTCTCAGCCTCCTGAGTGCTGGGATTACAGTTGTGTACCACCTGGCCAGGCCGGGCTCTTTTGAAACAGGTGCTAGGGTGGGTGTGTAGCTCAGTGCTATATGCGCTTGCCTACCATGTGTGAAGTAAGTGCTGGGTTCTATTTTTTGCTGGATTGCAAAAAATAAGTAAAGCTGGACATGGTGCCACAAGTCTATAATCTCTGCACTCAGGAGGCTGAGGCAGGAGGATCTCCACAAGTTCAAGGCCAGAATAGTGAGCTCAAGACCAGCCTGAGATATAGTGAGACCGTCTCAAAAAGAAAAAAAAAAAAAATTCAATAATCACCCTATAAAACTACAAGCAGCCCTAGATTGCCAGATCTGGAGAATTATTTTACCTCTCTAAGCCTCCCTCGGTTTCTCCAGGCATCAAGCCAGTGATGCCATGTCTATCAGTAGCTTCAAAGACTCCACACAACAGTGTATATAGCCGGTGGGGGCCAGGAGTGGCACTACGCCTGCCTGGCAAAGGCAGGGTCCCAAGTTGGATCCCCAGTGCCCCTCCCAAAAACTTTATATAGCCGGCCTGGCACCCATATCCTAGACGATCTCGTGTCTCCCAAGGCGCAGCACAGACCACAAACAACACCCAGGGCCACCATGCCAGCCCCCACACCAGGAAGAAAGGAGGACCCAGGTCAAGAAATGGTGTGGTTTATTCTCAGGCACAGACAGGCCCCAGCTTGCCATCCCTCTATACAAAGAACCCCTTTTATTCATCTGCAGGAGAGAACAGGATCATTGTCACTGCTCTGAGGGGTCACTGTGAGATGCCAGGCTGCGAGATGGCACCATCCCGAGGGCTCTTTCCGGCTGAAGTAGATGCTGCCCCTGGGCAGATCCTGGCCATCAACCAGGCTGGGCATATGTCTGTCTCTGGCCTGATAAAAAGCAAAATGCCTTCACTGTCTTGGACCAGGGAAGGCAACATAGAAACAAGGAATTCAAAAATAGATTCTCTATAAAAACAGCTGCTTGCTACCAAAAGGCAGACACCCTAGAGGAACGGGGCCCCCTGGATTCCTTTGGGCCCACAGACCCCATCCTATTCCTTCAGGGGCTCCTGGGGAATATAAGGCACTGGTGACAGGGACCAAGAGAGACAAAAATCTCTGCCCTCAAGAGGTTACTTTCCAGATAAGATGCAAAGAATTCTATAAAGAAAATAGAATTATGGGAGTGGGGTGGGGAGGAGGAATTATAGCAAGTAAAGTGGTCAGAGGTGATTTCTGACAAAAGAGGCATTTGAGCAGAGATCTGAAAATTATGTGGGAACCGGGGTTGGGGGAGCCAGTGCAAAGACCCTGGGGCAGGATGCTACCAGGAAAAGGTTAAGGGCTGAGTGCTTTTTCCTGGTCAGTCTGGCAGCCAGCATCCCTCACCAGCCTGATCTTTTGGGGGATTAAGGGTTGAGGGAAGAACAGAGTTACAGAATATAGATGTAGGTTTAAAAAATGTATCTTCATATAACTAATGCAAAAAGGCATGTGGTTTGATGCTCCCCATTGTGATCTGGGCTACAAAAAAGTAAGAAAAAGCTTTAGCCCTGGAATATGGGATGGTCCAGAAAGACCAAGAATCAAGACAAGGGCTGGGCGTGTCATCCCAGCACTTAGGAGGCTGAAGCAGGAGTTTCTCCATGAGTTTAAAGCCAGCCTGGGCTACAAAGTGAGTTCAAAGCCACCTGAACTACATAACAAGACTCTTACCTCAAAAAGCAACAACAACAACAACAACAACAAATCGAGACAAAAGGGGAAAGAAGAGAGAAGCTCAAATCCTGTGGGACCTGATGCCACCGGCCCCCACCAGAGTTCTGAGGTGCAGGGAGAAGGGAGCTCACACACACCCTGGCTAATGTGGGGGCCCTGCCTGGACTCGGATCAGGCAAAGCCAGCCCGGTCTCAAGCCAGAATCCAGATTTAGCTAAAGTACGGTCAGCTTTTCAACAAGAGCGATGGATTCAAAGTTCCATTTTCTTTGTAACTTGTGTGAGCTAAACATCTGCATGTGGCCTGCTTGAAAACGTGGCCTTTTTAGCTTCTTCTGTTGCTTAGCCAGGATCCTGCCTCTGCCCTGCAGTCCCCCGGGGGAGGAAGTCCCCAAGGCACCGTCTGTGTTGGCTCTGGCATCCCTGCTCCAGGGCTCACACTGTGGTCCCAAACACAGCAGGCTGGAGGTGACCCTCATCCTGCTCTTCCTCCTCCTCCACAGTGCTGTTGGCGAGGGGCGGCCCAGGCCCACCAGGAAGCAGGTGGCCAGGTGCACTGTCCGGCAAGGGCCCCAGACGCTCAGCCTCAGCCAGGGCAGTCAGCAGTGCGGCCAAGGGTGGCCGCCGGTGACAAATGTCCTGCAGCAGCTCGGCTCGGGGCCACAGCTGCCCAATGAGCTCATCTCTCTGGCGCACAGCAGCCTGCAGGCTGTGGACAGCGGCCTCGGAGGTCAGGAGTTGCTCCTGGAGAGCTGAGATCTCACTGGCAAGAAAGCAAAACAGGGAAGTTACGGTACTGGGCGGCTCCTCCCTGCTCCTGACCTTCCTGAGGTGCCCATCACTGCAGGATAGAAGTCCAGGTTCCCCCCACCACAGCCTCAAGGCCACCTGTTGTTATGGGCTGTGTCTCCCCGACATTCCTACTCTGTAACCCTAACCTCTTCCTCCCCTAGGGGATGGTATATGGAGATGGAGCCTGTGGGAGGTAATCAGCACAGACCAGGTTGGTTTTGGGGGGATTTTTTAGAGACAGGGTCTCACTAGGTAGTTGAGACTGACCTGGAACTCACTATGTAGCCCAGGCTGGTCTCGAACTCACAGCGATCCTCCTGCCTCAGCCTCCTGAGTGCTGGGATGACAGGCGTGCACCACCACACCTGGCCAGCGGACCAGGTTGTGAAGGTGGGGCCCCCAGACGGGATCAGTGTCCTTTTTCGCTTCTGTTGCTTAACCAGGATCCTGCCTCTGCCCTGCAGTCCCCCAGGGGAGGAAGTCCCGAAGGGACTGTCTGTGGTGGCTCCGGCATCTGTGCTACAGGGCTCACACTGTGGTCCCAAACACAGCAGTCTGGAGGTGACCCTCGGCGGCGGCGGAGTCCTCCTCCTCCATGCCACAGTAACTCTTCAAAAGTGCTGATATTCACACGGTGCCATGGATCATGTCTGCAATCCCAGCACTTTGGGAGGCTAAGGGCAGGCAGATGCCAAGTTCCAGCTCTGCCTGGGGAACTTAGCTACTTTGCAAGACCTTGTCTCAAAAAAAAAAAAAAAAAAAAAAGGAAAGAAAGAAAAAGAAGGCTGGGCTGCAGCTTAGTGCAAAGGCCCTGGGTTCTATCCCAGTTTTTCCCCACTCTCCCCATGGCTCCCAATGCCTACATCCGGCGTCGTAGGCCCTGCACCACTCCGGGCCAGCTCATTTCCCGTCTGAAGTTAGAAATCGGCACTCACGTCCTTTCACTGAACTTTACACACTTTGACCAAATCGCTTTCTCGTACCGGTCTTCAGTCCCCCCAGCAGTCGGCCCTGGGTTCTATCCCAGTTTTTCCCCACTCTCCCCATGGCTCCCAATGCCTACATCCGGCGTCGTAGGCCCTGCACCACTCCGGGCCAGCTCATTTCCCGTCTGAAGTTAGAAATCGGCACTCACGTCCTTTCACTGAACTTTACACACTTTGACCAAATCGCTTTCTCGTACCGGTCTTCAGTCCCCCCAGCAGTCGGCACCGAGAAGGCACACGCAGTGCCCCGCCCTTCCTCCCTTTCCCGTCTCGGCTCCGCCTCCTCCCACCTCCTGGACTCCACCTGGCAGCCCGGGCCTCACCCGTCCTTGGCGCGGCCCAGCTCGTCCAGGGCGGTGCGCAGCTGCTGGTCGTGACGGAAATCGCTTTCTCGTACCGGTCTTCAGTCCCCCCAGCAGTCGGCACCGAGAAGGCACACGCAGTGCCCCGCCCTTCCTCCCTTTCCCGTCTCGGCTCCGCCTCCTCCCACCTCCTGGACTCCACCTGGCAGCCCGGGCCTCACCCGTCCTTGGCGCGGCCCAGCTCGTCCAGGGCGGTGCGCAGCTGCTGGTCGTGACGGGTGACGGACGCCCGGAACAGGCAAGGCCCCACCTTCGGGACCGCCCCTGCCCACGAGAACGCGGCTCCATTGGTTGCAGTCCCTGCTGGGCCCCGCCCCAGAGCTGGGCTGTGCGCTTTCTTGAAACTCCGCCCTAAACTCGGGCTAACTGCAAGATTGGACAATATCTTGACAGACCACGCCCCCTTTGGATTTAACGCTCCGGCGGCTAGCTCTTCTCGGGCTCTCGCAACGGAATTAGTCACACCTTCCAGATGACCCCGCCTTACATAGAAACAAACACCAGGATTGGCCGGGACCTCTGGGAACAACAAGCCTGACCACGCTCACCGAGAAGAGTGGCTGGCCTCTTGAATCTACACGATTGGCCACATCCCTGTCAGGGGTAGTCCGAAGTATGGCCACGCCCCTTGGACAAATTACGGCCCCTGATTGCTTAAATGCCTGTCAATTCAGACCACGCCCCCAAGCCCAGAGTTTACTTTATCTGACCCTGGGGTTGGACCAGCGGCAGGTTGGGGATGGACTTCGTCCCCTGGGACTGGTCACTGCCCCTGATTCTAGCCACACCGCAGAGTAGTGGCATGGTTTCTAACTCCAGTTTGGGAACGGGCCATGAAGCAGGACCATGCCCCTTACAGATTACGGCTGTAAAAGTGGCTGCATCCTTCCAGGCCCCACCCACGACGTTGTCCCGCTCCTTTCAAATGAAGTCTTGCCTCGCGCCTCACCCTACGCATGAGAATTGGCCCGGCTGGCATCCGTCAGTCATCTTTAGTAATCAAACTATCCCTAGCTCGACCTTTCTGAGCTGGGACTAGCGAAACCTGTCTTCGCCGATCGAGGCGAGCCTCGGTTTCTCCTTCCAGGAATCAGCGACTCCCTTCTCCAGGCCCTTCCCAGAGCCTCCGCCTGACCCGTGTCCTTTGTCCGCGGGGCTCAATAAAGTTGCGCGCTTGTTGCCGGCCCGTCGGTCTCGGCGGCTGCGCGCGCCGTCTCGGAAGTCTCGCGAGAGTCAGCGGCGGGCTGCCCTTGGGAGCGCGGTTCTGGTGGGACCCGCGGTGCGGGGTTTGGGCTGAGCGGCCATGGCCAGGAGGCTCCTCCGTCAGTACACGGACATCCCAGACGGCACCGACTGCCACCGCAAGGCCTACGCCAGCACGGCTATCAGCACCAGTGTCGGTGAGCGCCGGCCGGACTCAGCGCGAAGGGCAGTGCCCGTGGGGTCCGTGGCGGGGTGGCGCGTGGTCGTAATCTGAGGGTCTGGAAGGCCGCGGGGTCTCGGATGTCCCTGGGTTCGGGGGCCTGGGCGAGGCGTGGAGGCAGTGGTTTGGGTGAAGAGCCGTCGCCAGACTCCAGGGCAGTCGTACGCTGTGAGGCCGGGTCGGTGCCGTGGGCCCTGTGGGACTTTGCAATGGGATAATTTTGCTGCTCCTTGGGGAATCACTGTGAGGCGCCTGGAGAGGGTCTAGGCAGGTTCGAGAGCTTCGAGGTGTGAATAGGTCTTCCTAGGGCCAAAGGGTGCTGGGTGGTCGAGGATATTTTATTTTGCCCACCCGCAGGTTCCTGGATTAGGTGGGTCAGGACCTCCTAGGACACCCCGGGGGAAGAGGGTTGTGAGGGAACCCACAGCTCCGGCATTCTCCCGCGGGGGGGACCCCAGAGTCTCCCCCTTCCGGTCTCAGAGTGTTTCACAGGCATGGTTCCCTTGAATGCTCCATTCCACGGAAGTAAAGGGGATGCCTTGGTTTGGGGGGTTGTTGTTTGTTGTGATTTTGGTTTATTTGGAGGTGGTAGGTTGTTTGTCTTTGCGCTACTGGACATTGAACTCAGGGCCTTGGCACTGAGCTACGTCCCCAGCTAAGTCCCCTTTTTATTTTTTATTTTGAGGCAGGGTCTCACTAAGTCACTAAGTGGTCCAGGCTGGGCTCTCATTTGAGATCTTTCTGCCTCAGCCTCCCGGAGTACTGGGATTCCAGGTGTTGCCACCATGCCCATCTAGAAAGGATAGTTTAGCCACCTCCGTATCTCCAGCTGAAAGGGGTTAGGCAGAAATAGCGACTTCTCTGGGAGGTATCTGATAGCGACTGCTACCGTTTTCTCCATTGTTAGTAAGATTGGCATCTTCTCTTAGCTGGGACTGAAGGGCAGAGGAACTGTGCATCGGCTGCTCCTGAGTCATGTGGATCGGGGCTCCTGACCTGTCTTTGAGGTCTTGGGCCAGGGCTGTTCCCTCAGAGAACTGATGGAGGGTCTTCAGGAGACTCTGCTGAGGACGCTGGGGTTAATGCTGAGTCGCTGCGAGAGTCTGGGGTGAGAAGGGAGCATCCTTGTGTCTCTCTGGAGAGCACCTCAGGCACCCTGGAAGGCTGACTAGTATTGGGGCAGCAGAAGCGGAGGTGTCACTGTAGGAGAAGTTATTCTGCCGTTTGTTTCGTTGTTTGCAGTGCTGACTATTGGACCCTGTACAGCACAGCCCCTGTCTTTTTTTTTTTTTTTTCTTTGAGACAGGGTCTCACTAGGTAGCTGAGACTGACCTGGAACTCACTATGTAGCCCAGGCTGGTCTCAAACTCACAGCCATCCTCCTGCCTCAGCCTCCCGAGTGCTGGGATCACAGGTGTGCGCCACCGTGCCCAGCTTGTCTCTTATTTTTTCAGCCCAAGTGTCAGTAAGTTGCCAAGGCTGACCCGGGCCTCCTGTCTCAGCCTCCTGAGTACCAGTGACTGCAGGCACACTCAGATCCCTGGCAGACTCTTGAGGGTATCTGACATTAGAGAACGTCTGGCAAAACTTTTCAGGGACCACGATCGTGTTCAGGGCAGATGGAGGCAGGAGCCTCCTGAGGTATTTAGGGACTTTGCAGTTTTTGAAGGGGGTTATTTTGTTGTAACGGGGAATCCAGGGCCTGCACGTGCTAGGCCAGTGCTCCACGGCAGCCCTGGTCCTTCAGGGAGATCTGTGAGGCAGGCGGCTGGGAGGGAGCTGCTGCCTGACCCTCGGTGTGGAGTTGGAGTGAGAGCGTGGGCTGTGCTCGGAGTGTGCACCACCGTGGGGGCGGCGGGCGCATCAGGTGGGGAGCCAGTGTCGGGTGGGGAGGTCTCTGCAGAGCCTCGAGAGGCTAGGTAAGGGAACCCTTGCCAGCGGAGGAGTCGCTGAGGAGCTCAGATTTGGGGTGATCCTTGGTCTGTTTGCCAGTGGCCCTCCCCTTGCTGCCCACCCCCTGATTCCCTGCCCTCCTCCTGGGGGAAGCACTTCCTTCATGCCGGCTTCCCTGGATGGGAGCCCTGGCCCTCAGGGAACCTCTGCCTCCCGAAGAAGCTGGGCCCTGTGGTCACAGGGTTCCTATGGGTGGATGATGGGCACCTTGGGGCACACTGGATGGATGGGTGGTTGGACGGATGGGTTTATCTTTAGAGCTCCGGAACTTTGTGTCTTGTGGGCCCATGGTCACTCACTGTGTTTGCTTTGTGGGAGCTGGGAGGAGCGCTGCACTTTAGATCACTATGCCCAGGCCTAATTTGTGTCCCCCATGGGTGAGGCAGGGCCCAGTGGGATTAGGACAGCGAGGCCTGGCCAAGAAAACTGTCTTCTTCCCCACCCATTCGCCAGAAAAACATCCAGCGTAATGTCCTGCAGACCTTAGCTACTCTCCTGGCTCAGTTGCAGACCAGCCCTTTTGACCTCCCCTGCACTTCCCTTATCTCTACCACTATGAATAAACCCTCAGCCATCTGCTTGGTGGTCTTTTCCTCCCATCAGGAGTTAGAGCCCCACCTGGCCCCTCCTATACCCTATTATATCTCTTTGTCTTTTTTTTTTTTTTTTTTTTTTTTTTTACTTGGCCCTTGCGAGGCAGGTGCCAGAACGACTGAGCTAAATCCCTGGACCTTCTTTGTCTTTTTAAATCGTTCACCATCCTTTCCCACTCCTTGAACCCTTCAGCCACTCAGGCTGTGGCAGTTTTGTCTTAGCAAAAGAGAAAGTATTCATTACATTTAATTCTAGTGTACTTTTTCTAAATTTCTTTCTCAGAAACAGTCACAAGAGCCAGGTGGTGATACACACCTGTAATCCTAGCAGTCAGGAGGCTGAGGCAGGAGGGTCACCTTAAGTTTGAGGCCAGGCTGGACTACATAGTAAGACCCTGTCTCCAAAAAAAGAGTCATAAAGACAGAACTGTCCATTTTATGAAAATTGCAGATTAATGAAACCATATGGTAGGGCCTGAGATTTAGCTCAGTGGTGCCGCTGCCTGCCTCATAAATAGAAGGTCCTGAGTTCGATCCCCAGTACCAAAAAACCAAACGTGGTGTCAATAAGCGCCTTGCCATGTTTAGAGCTTGCTACAGCGTAGACATCCGGCTTCTCGGTCCTCCGTCAGCTGCAGTAGCTCCGTGTCTCTCACTGTATATCTCAGTATATCCAGTTTCTTTTCCTACTGAAGAGAAATTTTGATATAGGACAGGCAGTGATCTAACATTAGGCATGTCATTTCTCAAACTCCATGGAAAAGGAAGATACTTAAGCATTGTAATATAAAGACACAGTTTAGCTAGGCATGGTGGCTCACTTCTGTGGTCCCAGCACTGGGGAGGCTGAGGCAGGAAGATTGCTGTATGAAGCCAACCTGGGCTAAATAGTTAGTTCAAGGCCAGCCTGAACTCTGAACTGCATGGTGAGACCCTGTGTCAAAAAACAAAACAAAACAAAAACAAAAACAAAGACGCAGGCTTTGAAATGGTATAGATAGGCAGTAGTTGTCATGAATCGGAGAAGCCAGGGGGTTGGGCTGCCTAAGACAGAGAAATAAGGCTGTGGCTATGACAAGGTTTTGACCTGAGATTGGCATCAGTTCTCACCTTGGTGACAGTGTTCTGTTTTGGTGTTTTGTCTTTGGTGTTTTGAGACAGGGTCTCACTGTGTAGTTGAGACTGACCTGGAACTCACTATGTAGCCCAGGCTGGTCTCGAACTCACAGTGATCTTCCTGCCTCAGCCTCCCAGGTGTTGGGATTACAGGTGTGCACTACCACGCCTGACTTGTTTGTTGTTTTTTGAGACAGGGTCTCCTTATGTACTTTCAGCTGTCCTTGAACTTACTATGTAGCACAAGCTGGCTTTGAACTCATGGAGATCCTCCTGCCTCAGCCTCCCAGGTGCTGGGATTACAGGCGTGCATCATCACTCCTGGCATTGGTGATTTTTTTTGTGTGGTAAATGTTAGTGTAGTCTTAAAAATATCATTCCCTTTTGAAACCTGAAATTGGACACAGTCACTTGCAGGCTAAAATATATGTATTACACACACACACACACACACACACACACACACACATTTTTCCTGCCACATGTTCATTACAGAACATCCCTGTCTTAGAAACACCCAAGCTGGCCAGGCGCGGTGGTACAAACCTGGAATCCCCACACTCTGGGAGGCTGAGGCAAGATGATTGCTAGTTTAGCAACTGGGCAGCTCAGCGAGACCCCTTCTCAAAATAAAAAAGTGCTGAGATATAGCTCAGTATGAAAACCCTGGGTTCCATCCGTACAGAAAGAGAAAAAACAAAGCAAAACAAAACAAACCCACTTCAGCAGGGAGTAGATACTAATCACCAGTTGTCAGTACTGTGGGTTGACTTGAAACCAAGTGAGACGCCAAGGAGCCCTCAGGGTTTGGGTGCACTGTAACCGCGATCACAGTCAGGGCAGAAACCAGAGCTAATTCAAGAGACCTGCACGGCACCAGACTGTAGCGGCAACCTCAGGCTGCAGGAAATGATGTCAGCAGTGAGTACTGATGACTCAGTGAAGGAGCGATGGTCGTGGGGAAGCTGAGGGGCTGCAGAGCCCGTGTGCTGGGGTGGGAGCTCCTCCCCCGGGTGGCTGCTGGGCTGTCGGTGGCCCTCGGGGTAGTCAGAGTCCTGGCTGGGGGTCCGGGAGGCACCGTCAGTAAGGTTCACCCCAGCGCCCACCCTGACCAGGGCCCAGCGCACTCATTGAATTGGGAATGGGGAGGTGGTTATCAGACCCTGTGCCCATCCAGCCCTGGATCTGTACCCACTGGGTCCTGCACGGGCCGAGTGTCATTCTCATGAAGGACCCCAAACCAGGCACGTGGTGGCTCATGTGCACCTGTGATCCCATCAGCCTGCAGTCTGGTGGGAGGGTTCTCCCAAGTCTGAGTTTTGTCTGGGCAACTTAGCGAAAACCAGTCTCGGGGTGCGTTAGGGTGGGGGTGGAGGATATAGTCAGTAGGTTTGATCCCCAGTAATGGGGGGAAAAGAAATTGTTACCGGCTGGGGTTCCTGTAAGCCTAGTTATGACTGAGGATGGGCTGGGGGGACCCTGGGTCCTCCCCAGCACCCAGCACCATCCACCAAGGCCAAACGGGGACCCTGCGTTTGAAGAGACAAGTTCCACAGCTCAAGCAGGGTGATGGTGCATTTCCACAATCCCAGCACTCTGGGAGGCTGAGGCAAGAGGATCTCAAGTTCAAGCTCAGCCTAGGCAAAATTCTGGGATGTAGCTCCCTGCCAAGTCCTTAGGTTCATTCTCCAGAACCGCAGAGAAAGATCACAGCTGTTTGTGGTCAGACCTTTTCTTACACACCTGGGCCTTGGTCTCTCGTTGTGCAGCAGGGCGCTGTCTTGACCCCTTAGGGCCGCCCCAGCATCTCTTCCACTGCCAGGTGTGCGGGCGTGGAATCGGAGCCCCGGGTCAGGTGGGGAGGGCACCTCAGACGATCACAGGGTGCAGTGCACTGGGCTGGGGCCTGATCCTGTGACCCGGCCGGCTGCCAGCTGGCTGTGTTGGATGATGTTGGGGCCACTCACCTGCCTCGCAGGGCCCTGAAGATGAGGTGCCGGCCTTCTGTGTTGTCGGGTGTGCAGGCCCGAGAGGCCTCCGCAGAGGCGCCTGAGGTGGGGAGGGAGCCCGTGTCCGGCCGCGCAGTATCCACTGCCGGGAGGGTGGGGCCCGAGGGGACAGCAGCCCAGGGTTGCCCCTGCCTGGGGCCCGTGTGTCAGAGCCAGTGGCGGGCAGTGCGGTGAGGGAGACGGCAGACAGAAGCACGGCTTCGTGAGACTGGGACCTGAGCAGCCGCTGTCCCCTCTGTCCCCCAGGCCTGGTTGCGTCCGGCTACAGCCTCATACACAGGCCCCCGGCCTCTGTCCTCGAAGGTGTGGCCAGGGCCGGAAGGTACACATTTACCGCAGGTGAGCCGGGGCCCTTCGCTCGTCCCAGACCTGGGTGCGTGTTCTCCAGCCACCACTTCTCCCTCAGTCCCCGCCAGCGTCCACAGTCCAAGCTGCCGGGACACAGGGCGTCATGAGGGATGGGCACTGGGCAGGGTCCCGGGAAGCTGCCCCTGACCCAACACCCTCCATGGACTTGCAGCCGCCATCGGGGCTGTGTTTGGCCTGACCTCTTGCGTCAGTGCCAAGGTCCGAGAGAAGCCCGAAGACCCCCTGAACTACTTCCTTGGAGGCTGTGCCGGGGGCCTGGTGCTGGGAGCGCGCAGTGAGTGCCCACCTGCCCCTTCTCCCTCTCCGCTCTACCCCGACAGCAGGGAAGGCACAGTGCCTCTCAGCACAGCCCACAGGGCACTGCACCCTCCCTCTGCCTCCCTGCTACCCCTCTGCCCTCTGCCCTTCATCGTGCCCCAGGGCCTTTGCACACACTGTGCCCTCCACCTGGAGTGCACTCCCCCAGGTGTCAGCACAGCTCCCTCGTCCAGTCTCTGCACATCGTGTCAGAGGATGCAGGCCACTGGCTGTCCCCAGCTCTGGTCTCGAGGGCACAGAGATGCTGCTCCCTGCAAAGCCACTTGTCTCCCAGTGCCCCAAAGTATGCAGTGTCCAGGGTCACTGCAGGCTTTCACAGCAGCAGCGGGCACAGCGTGGTCAGGGGCAGGAGCCTGGGGAACCTGCACTTCCGGCCCCTGTCCCCAGCAGGCCTGGAAGGGTGTAACATGCCGCCCCCAGCTGGGGCGAGCAGGAGGGAGGCTGAGGTGCCACAGTGGCCTATCCCGGACTGGAGCCAGGTGGTGCAGGGCAGGGTGAGGAGCCCAGACACGCCCTGCTGGCGTGCCTCAGTTTCCCTGTCTCTAAAGCCCAGCGGCAGTTTGAACAACACACTCTGCCCTGAAGCGCAGCTCTGCCGGGTGGGCCGTGTTTGGGATGGGGCCCTGGGGGTGAGGGGCCCCGCCCCACGTGCTGACCCCATCCGTCCGCAGTGCACAACTACGGGATCGCCGCGGGTGGCTGCATGTACATGGGCACGACGGCCGCCCTGGTCAAGATGGGCCAGCTGGAGGGATGGCAGCTGTTTCCCGACGCCAAGGTGTAGCCCTGCCGCCTCCGCCTCGCCTCCGGACCAGACTGCCTGGAAATAAACCCTGTGTATATGTGTGACAGCGGCCCAGAGTGCTCCGTGCCGGCCACACGGCCGCCCACAGGGAGGCCAGGGTGGCTGGGAGGAGCGGGAGG